GAGCTGCCCGGGATGGGGAAACATCCCCGGGGGACATCCAGGGCTCCCCGCGGCTCTGGGTGTCCATGGGTGCCCCCTGCCCGGTTAGCGCCGAGGGAGGCGGAGCAGCCCTCCGGCGTCTAGGCAAGAAAGTCTATCAAGGCATCTTTACTTTGCAGCTTTTATTAAAAATATAAATATTAAACATTCTCTTACACAACCAAATCGACCGAGCGCTGAAAAGATGTTTTATTGTGAAAATGTTTACAGGAAAAAAAAGTGGATTGAAAGTAGCTTACAGAGATTCCCCCTCCCACCTCCCTGCCCCCAACAGAAAAGTTTTCTGTCTTCTTGGCACCGTTTCTTCCAATGCTCACACATCCCTACGTAGCGATGGCACTAGAATAACTGGGAAATGGAGAAATAAATAAAGGTAAGGGAGGTTACAAACGACACTCGTGTTTCTGCACTTGGTACACGGTTGTGCATGCTAGTCAAGGGACAGAGGCTGTTCGGAGTACGCCCTTCTAGGTTTAAAGCTATATAAAAATAAAGAGATGACATCAGAGCAGCACTATGGTACATCGGACGGTGTAATTATTCTTGTGCTAACTGCGGAATCTCTTTGGCAAGGCGGGGAGGGGCCGTTTCACTTCCCGATTATCTCCATCAGTTTCCTGTTGCTGTGAGCTTGCTGCGCTAACTGCTCGGCTCGGGCCATCTCCAAGACTTCTCGCAGGAGGTGGAAAGTCAGATCCAGAGAAATAGGGGGCTCCTCGGATCGCTTCTCCCTCTCCACCGCCTCACCCTCGGCTTCGCCGTCCTCTCGGTTCCCCGGCGAGCGCTCGGGCAGCTGCTGCAGCTGTTGAACCGCCGCCCGGAAAAAGTTGCTGGCGGAGGCTTCGGGCTGTAGGTGGCTGGTGCTGCTGGAGGAGGCGGAGAAAGAGCCAAGGGGTCTCTTGTGAAGGTTGCCCAGGCGCAGGAAATACTCTTCTCCCATGCGGAGCAGGACGGGCAGAGTTTGCTGCTGCTGTCGCTGCTGCTGCTGCTGGAAGAAATCTGGCTGGTGCAGAGCCCCAGGGGCGGGTGCCAGGCTCTTGCTGAGAGCTCTGCACTCCTGGCAGGGCAGGAGGGCGACCAGCAGGATTCCCGTGGAGACCAGCAGCGGGATCTTCATGATCGGGGCCCAAACCTGCGGGGGCAGAGGGGGGACGGGGGTTGGGTTACAAAGCCGAGCCGCAGCAGCGGGGAGGGCAGCGGGCGGCCGGGCAGGGGGCGTCCCCGCCGCCGCTGTCCCGGTGCTGAAACGCTCCGCTCCGCGCCGCTCCGCGCCCCTCGGCTCCCCGCACAACCCGGCCCGTCCGCCCGCGCCGTCGAGGCGGCCGCTCCCCGCAGAACCCCGCGGAACAGCCCCGCGGGGCGGCTCCGGTCTGCCTCGGCAGCGGCTCCCGGGGACCAGGCTGGGCTGAGCCCTTGCGGAGCTTCGACCCGTGTTCGCCACCCGCGCCTCTTCCCCCACCCGGGGCGAGCGGGAGCGTGGGGTGCCTGTGGCGGGGCGGCTCTTCCCACGAGCTGTGGGGCTCCAGCGCCCCTTCCCCACCTCCCCGCTCCCTGTGCGGCCAGGACAGGTCCCCGCATCCCGCGGGACGCGGCGCTCAGCCCCGCTCAGTGCAGGGCAGCGCATCCGCTGCGCGCCCGGGCGCGGCCGCGCACCTACCTGGGGCGGCGGCGGCGGCAGGGCAGGGCGGGCGGCGGCGGGACTCGGCGGTGCCCGGCGTCCCTTCCTCTCGCTCTCCCTCGGAGCCGGCTCCTGGCGAACTTGGGATCAGATTTGGTACTAATCAGAGCCGGGGCGCGGGATTTTTATAGCTTAGACCCTCTCCTGGAATCACGCAGAACTTGCCTAATAAGCTGACGCTCTCCCTGACAGCCCGATTGCGTGCCCCGATCTACTGCTGAATAAATCATGGGGGCCCGTCGGAGCGGCGATGGGCCGAGTTTCGCTATCGCAACCCCAAATCTCACGTCCAATTATATCAACAGATATTTATCGCCTCTGCAGTGACGTCAGCCGGGCCGGGGGCCGGGGAGCAGGATGCCCCCCCCCCACCCCATTGACAAAAATACTTGAATGAGATTTCCTAGCGGGCGCGTACTATGAGAGGTCACTCCGGGGAAACTTTCCACTCACGGGCCGGCCCGCGGGGAGGGACCCGGCCCGAGCGGTACCGGGGCTGCTGTCCCGGGCTAGCTCCGTCTCCATCCCCGCTCCTTCCCGGTCCCCCGGCCTCCGCCGCCTCCGAGCCCGCCCGCACGGGGCGGCTGTGGCGGGTGGGCGCGGGAGGCTCCGCGGGGCCCGTGCTTTGCGTGGGTCCCGTCTCTGCTCCGCTCCCGGGTCGGCCCGGGCCGGGCAGCGCTCGCCCTGCGGGGCGGGCAGGGGCGCACCGAGCCCGCGGGAAGGGGCTGAGGCAGAACAGGCGCCGGTGCCGGTGCCGGGGGTGACCCGGGGCAGCGCTGGCACCGGAGCTGCCAGGGACCCCGCCGGCGGGAGAGGGGGCGGAAAGGCCCCGGGGGTGGCGGGGAAGGCCGGAAGAGCCGCCAGGGCCGCCGGGGAACACCTGCCCAGACGGGGAGCGTCGCCCTGGGGCGCTGCGCTGCTGCTGCCCCGGCACCGCCGGCAGCGCCGCCTGCTCCGCCCGGGCCCGCTCCCGTTGCCGCTGCCGCTCCCGCTGCCGCCGGCCGGCCGGGCTCCTCTCCGCTGCCTTCACACTGCCTGCGGGGACACAGCACCTGCTCTTTGCTCCCCTTCTCCATTCCACTGGCTGATCTTCCCCACCTCTTCGACGCCATGGCCGGGTGCTTTCCCTGTCTGGCCTCCTCAGCTGAGGCCTTCCCCTCCAGCCTGCCCTAACCCCACGTGGACCTTTTTTCCAGGTGTTCTCCCATGACCAGTATGTCTTCAGGCTCCAGGCCATATTACATCAATGTCTCCACCTAGGTTTCTTGCCCTCTGATCTCTTCAAAAGGAAGTGCTGCCTATAGAAATAACTTCTGCCCAACGTCCATTCCATGTGTAATGTGTGTTCTTCCATTTTTGTATCCCATTATCTTTGCCAACGTCTCTCATTCCTCCTTCTCCACTGCCTCAGTTGAAACACCAGTCATATCCTTCCCTTTAAATTGGAGAACTTTACAGAAACCCTATTGGTTTTATCTTGTCTAGACAATAAACTCCTGGGGTCACACACTTGAGTGTGTCCCATTGTACGGAGGAATTGGGACAGAACAGGTGATCACATGCTATTGATGCAAAGTGATAAATCTGAACTCCATTTCTTTAATAAAATAACAAAGTTAAAACCACTTAATGTATGAGGTTGGCCACAGCCCAACTCTGAGCATCTCCTTAGGGATGCTCTAGACTTCAATTTTAGTTATACCAAGCTGCAGCCTCGGATGCACTTTTTGCAAAGTGCCAAAGAATCAGATCTTGTGCATCATGAAGAAACAAATGGAAAAACAAGTAGTAGTACCAGAGATTTAGCTCTTCATTACCACTTTTTGCTCAGGCATTCATGAACTGAAATGTGTATTACAGAACAGAATATATTGTGTAGCTAGTCGCAGCAGCAGTTATTTGTATGCTTTTAGAGCATGTCAGCATGGCTTTCAGTGAGAACAAGAAGTTCAAAGAAACAGGAGCTAAGTTCAATCAATTGAAGGAAAATGTGAGAGGTACTTATTAAACTCAAACCCTTCAGATGTGCTCTGGGGTGGGTTTTATCACAGCGTCTCCATTTTTAGGTTTAACAGACTCTTTAAAAACACAAAAGCCTCTTAAAATAATGTGACCATAAAGGTAAAGAAAGAAGAATTTTGATCAATTTTTTTTTTTTGTGTTAGGGATGAGATCTGGATAAGACAGAGCTGCTCTTCTTCAAAAGATTGATGCCAGTGAGAAATGGCACAAGTTATGTTATGTTTTTAATAATTTACAATATTATTTAGGTCTCTTTAGGCAGACACTTTGGTCCCTTGAGAAAATCCAGGTATAGCAAATGCAATGTAGAAGCAGGCTGGGGTTCTCAAGTTTTCACAAGACCTGTACAACCTGCCAGTTTCTTCTCCTCCATTTTTTTCCTTCCTCCTGGCTCTGAGCATGGTCTGCAATGTCTCACACAAGCTTGTTTCTAAGTCAACGTGGTCTTATTACCCCACTTTGCTCATAGATCCTGAGTGATGTGTGAGAGGGCTTGCAGCAATGCAGGGAACAGTGAGACAGTCGGATGTCTTGATAATGAGGAATATAAAATATCACAGGTACATAAACCAAAAAGCCCTTCCCTCAGCACTTCAAATGCAGAACTGACTGCCTAGGAATATAAAAGTCCTTTCTCCAGAGTCACTAGCTTCTGAGTGAAATGTCAGCTGTCACTTCTGAAGGAGATTGCAACAGAAGAAATCTTGGCTTCTCACCAGAGGAGTGAAAAAGGAAAGACAAGGAGGGTATCAGGTACATCTGGATTGGAGATTTTTGTTTAGTGTTATAGTTTGAGATTAGCATACCCTTCATAGGAAAAGTGTTCATATTTGACTCACTCTGCAAACATCAGGAGCAAACAGAAATTTTAGTGAATCACAAAAT